TGGAAGCCCATGAACTGTAGACTAGTGGCTGTGGAGCTCCCATGGGACTGGACTAGGCCCTCTGGATACGGAAGATGGTTGTTTGGCTTGAACTGTTTGGGAGGTACCCAGGCAGGGGCATTGGGATCCATCCCTGGTGCATGGGCAGGCTTTTGGGAATCCAGTGCCAGTGGTGTGATGCCTTGCACAGCCTTGGTGCAATGGGAAGGGCTTGGACCTGCCTAGGCTTAGTGTGCCGGGTTCTGCTGACTCCCCTTGGGAGACCTTGATTTGGGGGATGTGAGGATGTGGGGTGGCTTGGGAGAGAAGGCTGGGGGGTGGGAGGAGGGAGGACGTGGGATCTGTGGGTGGTATGTAGAGTGAGTAGAAAATTTCTTAATAAAGAAAAGTGAAAAAAATAAAAGACCTCATGTTCTAGAAATATGAGGAAGAAGCAGCAGTTAGCCATGTCAGAGCTCATTTTTAGTGGCTTGCTGTCATAGTCATGAGTTTGAATTCTACTTTCAGTGTCCTTTTAGCCTACTTATAAATGTGGCTCAGGCAAGAATCAGGAAGCCAATGAAGAACTAAGGGGAAATGCCAACTGCCCAGGGTGATCTTGGAATCATTTCTGAGTGGATTGAGAGTTCTTAATACAGAGACAGAGAAATATCAAGGCACAGAGCTGTGTGTTTTAGTAAGATGTGTACTTCTTGGTTCAGCAAAGTGAGTGGCTGAGTGTTCCTGGTACCAAATTATGGGTTTGCTCTCCTTTACTTCTAGTGGGAAGCACTTGGGGACTTGGTGTTAGAATATAGTTGAGACCTTTATTGAAGGAAGAAGGAAGACTCCCTTTTCAAGACAAAAATGCTGTGACAGTTAGACTCCAGCCTTGTTCAGCTGCCTCTCCTCATGGGGATGACAGCTGTATTCAAAGCCATTCCGATGGGCAGCACAGACATGTACTAGGAAGCGAATGGAACAAACCCTCCCTCTTCCTGACCTTCTGGGATGTTGGGATGAAGGACCTAGGACACTTCCTTCCCTTGTCCAAGGTCACCACACATGAGAGTAGAATCCAGGCTTTCTTTGACACTTAATCTTCCTCATCCTCCCATAGCTCTAAACTCTGGGAGCTAGAGCCATGTTTGCTGGGGTCCCATCTGAGCTGGAAGGTGTAGACTGTACTTTCTGACTATTTCTGAACTGCATGATCCTTCCCGTCCCATCTCCTCAGCTGGCCTCTGAGGTTGGAGATGTGCTTAATTTTCTAAGTGGAGAGCTGTATCCTCTCCAGCAAAGCCCCTTTGCCCTGCTCCTGCCTTCTCAGGCAGTGGCTGCACACTATGCTAGCTCACCCTGCTGCCTGGGTCCAGGATGGTACAGACTCTCTGCTTTTATAGTAGATTGAATGGCATTCAGCACCCCCACAAATGCGCCCATGGGATTACTTAAGGCTACATTTACACACCATGCACCTCAAAGCAGCTTCTTCTACTCAGTGCCCCTCACTCAGTCTCTCAGCAGCTGCTGGGTACCAGGCATTGGGGCTGGGCACATTCAAGTGAATGAAAGGTCAGGCTTACATTATAATAGAGGAAGACAGAAAGTAAATAAACTGTTTTTTAAATATGTTAGAAGATGCCAGATATTTTGGGGAAAATAAAGGAGGAGAGGAGGGGTCACTGTGACAAGGGGTGGAGACTGCCCTATTAATGAGGATGCTTGGGGACATCCGTATCAGAAGATAGTAACTGAACAGAGATTTACAGGAAGCTCAGAGCAGCCACAAGAATCAAGGTTTTCTGTGCTGAGGACTAACCAGTTATAAAGGATCTGAGGCAGGGGAATGCCTGGAGGGCTGCAGAAACCACAATCAGGAGATAATGGAGGGAGGGAAGGGGTAGATAAAGAAGCCCAAGAGCTGGAGGCAGAGCATGCAGGATGGGAAGAGTCCTTGAAGACTGCCTGCTTCTATTCTGAATCAGTCACTTGTTTAGAATCAACAAACATCAATTGTAAGATAACAAATGTGCCATCTTAGAGACAAGGTGGCCATACACAATGGATGGCAGGTGGGACTTGTTCTCCCTACAAGGTTACTAGGCGTGAACTCTGCAGGGCAGATTTGATAGTTATTTGTGCTTTTAGCATTGATTTCTAGACATGGTGCAGTTCCAGTCACACAGCAAGCCCCAGTCAATATCCATTGAGTGGTCCTCTTCCTGCGCCTTTTTTCTAAACATGCATTTGAGGGCTGGGGAGTTGGCTCAGGGGGAGAAGTACTTGCCATGCCAGCAAAATAATCTGAGTTTGAATCCCAACCCCTCAACCTATACCAGGTGGCTTGTGCCTGTGACCCTAGCACTGAGAGGCCACAAATGGATGGATCACTGGAGATTTCTGGCCAGCTAGTTCATCCAAAGCTCGGGGGATCAGTGGAAGAGCTTGTCTCAAAGCCTAAAATGAAGAGTAATGAAAGAAGATACTTGACATTGACCTTTGGCTTCTACACACATGTTCACACACATGCACTCATGTGCATGCACATGAACATGTACAAACATACCACACACAGGACACAGATGCACAAAAACAACACACTTGAGGTGGTATTCATGATCTGAGTTTAATTCCTGTTAATTTTTGCTGTCTGAAGAAATGGAACACTTACCCTTTGCTTGACCAAAGGGAGTTTGGGGCATGATAATTTAATGTCATATCTGTGGAAATGAATTACGGACTCTTGGCTGGGCTGTAGGTGTGGCATTGTGCTGGTGTTTGTTGGTGGTGCCTCTTTTTCCTGCTCAACCCTTTCACATCCCATCAATGACACAGGTTCAGGGTTGTAGGTTGTAAGGATGAGACAGCTACCCTGCAGTGTTCTTCTGGAGCTCTGTGTGGTCATGTGAGGGGTGTGGTGGGCATCACACCCAGTGGCCTCGTGCCATAGGAAGGGTGGGTACGTTTGCCAAAAGGTTCTTTGGAGGCTGCTGACTGAGGAGTGCCTGATGTCTCTGTGAGGAGCCTGGGTCCCTCTGAGAGTGAGATGTCTCAGCAGCTTGTGGTAATGATGGAGAAGAGGGCCCAGAGTCTCTCTGTCCCCAGAATGGCAGTCCTCACCTCAATGACAACAGTTCTGTCAGCTGCTTGATAGCAGCTTCTGGAATTAATTTCTGTATCGACCCCTTCTGATTTAAATGTAGTACTGCCTTTTTTTGTGCATGTATCCAATCTTTTCTTTGTGACGAGGTCATCCTCGGATGATTTAAAAGTTGATTTCAGAAACATGGCTGTAATTGTCCCCTTTGTTCTAGCTAATTAAATTCTTCATTCCTCCTGTCAACTAATTCTTGAGGTGACATTCATTCCACTGGGCCGTCCTAAAAATAAACTAGAAATGAGCCAACATGGTAACAAAACATGTAGCCCCTCCCCCATCACATGCTGTCCAAATAGCAATCAACCCATTCACTTTATTTCTCTCAACATTTTTAAAAAGCCTTGCTATCTCTCTTGATGTGCTAGAAATAGAGTGGTAAGTAGGGCACTTGAAAGGTCCTCATTCACAGAGGGAAAGGGATTCTTTTAGATTTCATAGTGAGGGAAGTCTTCACCTAGGGAGAGAACTGCACACGGTGGAGCAGGGAGCCATTGCAGAGTCTGAGGAAGAGACACCAGGTAGTGGACCAGCACGAGCCATGTCCCAAGCTGCTTAGAGCCCCCAAGAGACCTGTAATCCACAAAGAAGATACAAGGAAGAGTGGGAGGGGCAAACTCCGAAGGGAGGAAAGGACCGGGGGGGGGGGGGGGGCTGCGCCTTCTTGGAATGGTGTGTGGGTTTTACTTTGTGCTTATAGAATATAAATATTTAAAATTATTGACTATTTTGATAACCTCTTCAGAGGCTAACCCCTCGGCGCTTAGAGATTCTGAGCAGGAACCGCTGAGTGATAATGCAGTACTAATGAGGTATTTTTGGAGCTTCACTTCATTCAGTCCCTAATCCTCTTCCATCCCTGAAGGAGTCTATTGGAAATTGTCTGATGAGCATAATTAGCATAAGGAGCCCCATTTTTACCTCCTGAATTCTGGCCACACATACTTGTATGAACACATTTGAGCAAGAGAACTGAGAGTCCTCTTTCTATTCCATTGAGTCTATAGTGTATTCTATTCTGCAATCAGCTCTGAGAAGTTGGGGTTTAGCAGTTGCGACTGAATTTTCCTTTATCACTGGGACAAATTGTCATGGAATAGTATAGAACATGAGCCCCAACTCTGGTACCAACTCTAGAGGAGCAGGCAGTCCTTGGGCTACTGTTCTGTAGTGTGTGTAGTGTGTTCCCAAGTACCAACAAATGGCCCTTCAGAGGTCAGCAGTGAAGGACAGATCAACATGGACACAATGAAGAGACAGAACCGTCTCTTTATCCTTCCCATCTATTGAGACCCAGTTTCTCTGGGATGACCCTGCAGAGTATGGGGCCAAACATTTCACAAAACTCAGCTGATGCTCCCACAACTCTCTCTTCCAGCCAGAGACTATCATAGGAATAGACAGCTCTGGAAAGCATTAATTGAATAACACTATCTTAAAGATCTGCTTGAAAGATCAGGTAGGAAGTTGTGAGATATAGGCAAGCCAGAAATTGGACAATCATTTCTCATTCAGAAATCTTACAAAGGTTTAGGATGTGAAAAAGATTCCAATTTAGATCCACGAAGACATTTGTCATCACTGGCAGCTGACGGCAAAATCCTGTATAAGGAGTCTTATTTTAAATTTTTTGTCTAAAAACAATCTACTCAGTGATGTGTTTCTGAAATTGAGTGGTTTAGGATGTATGTCGGGTTGGGGTAGGCTGTTCTTTATCATCTTTCTCTTGATGAGCTTTTGCAAAGGAGGATGTGTTCACAAGCAATAGTGTTAAGAGCTGTAACCCAGGGAGCTAATTTCCTATCAGCAACACCACGTTCCTTGTGAGGGAATAATTGACCCATTTATGGTCTCCTTTCAGTTTGTTACAGATCCTTGTGTCAGCAACCCTTGTCACCATGGTAACTGCAGCAGCAGCAGCAGCAGCAGCAGCAGCAGCAGCAGCAGCAGCAGCAGCAGCAATGACAGCTACCTCTGCATTTGCAATGATGGTTATGAAGGTCTCAACTGTGAACAGCCACTTCCCAGTGTTCCATCCTCTGGCTGGACAGAGTCCATGGTACCCAGACAACTTCAGCCTGTCCCTGCCACCGAGGAGCCTGACGTAATCCTGCCCCGCTCTCAGGCAACCATGACATTGCCAACCTGGCAGCCAAAAACAGGGCAGAAAGTTGTAGAAATGAAATGGGATCAAGTAGAGGTAAGAATATTGTATGGCATGTATTTTTTACTGGAGAAACCAGAAATGTCAAAACAATTCCAGTGGTTTTAATATAAGCAATAAAAGGAGAAGGTCTTTAAGCTAGTCACTGAACAAACGATGTATGCAACCTTACATCCATTTTTACTTGTGTACATGACTTTTTAGCACTGGGTATTGAACCCAGAACTTTACAGATGCCAGGCAAGTATTCTAGCACTGATCCACCCCACAGCCTTTCCTTATTTTAGACAAGGTCGGGGTTGCTAAGGCTGACCTCCAACTTGCTATGCTGTCCAGGTGGGCATGTGAACCCCCCCCCCCAAAAAAAAAAGAACTCAATAAAAAATAAATTGAATTATTTCCTGGAATGATCTCTATGTTCATTTCTGTGCATTAATTTTGGAATTAGGGAGATAGTTCAATGTGGGGTTCACACAAGGCTGCCATATCACAGGCCCATACACTGTTGACCCAATTACCATGAATTCATGAGTGCTGTGGTCCTTTCATGTCTCAGAAGACACTATTTCACTCTGGTCCTCTCCAGTCACTGGCTCTCACAGTCTTTTTTCCCCCTCTTCTGTGGAGGTCTTAAGACAAATTTCAGTCTGGCCTGGAACTCACTAGAGGGTCTAGACTAGCTTTAGACTTGTGTGGTCTTTCTCAGCCTCCCAAGTGCTGGGATTGCAGGCTTACACCATCACATCTTGCAATTAACTTAAAAAAATGTTGTTTTTAGCATATAGTAATTGTAGATAATATTGAGTTTTTGATGGTATTTTCATATATCTACATAATGTATTTTGCTCATATTCGCCCCCATTACTCTCTCTTAGCCCCTCCTGTAATCCCCCTCACTATCCCAAATATCGCCATCTACTTTCAGTCGTTTTTGTATGCGACCCGGGCTTTCATCATGGTTGCCTACAAGAGGATGGGTGAGAGTTTGTTTATCAGAGCATGGGTACCATACCAGTGGTCACCCCACTGAAGAAAGTGTCCCTCCCACTCCCTTCCATCATTAATTGTGTGTAAATCTTCAGGTGGGTAGGACCCCATGAGCCCCTCCCAGCCCATGACAGGATGATGGTGGGCCTGGTCCTGTGCAGATCTCTGGCAGGCAATCACAGCTACTGTGAGTTCAAGTGCAGCAGCTGTGTAATAACTGAAGATCAGCGGACCCTTTGCGCCCGGCTCCTACATTCGTTCCGCCCCTTCTACTTCAGTGTTCCCTGGGCCTTTTGTAGAGGGGAGGGGGAAATAGATGATTTATATTTGATCCAGCATCCAACAGTACTTATTCTCTTCACTTTGACCAATTTGGAGTCTCTACAGTTACTTTTGATCACCAATGTGAACTAGTAATACACAACAGTGTAACTTAAAAGTGTAGGTATCAGGGCTGGAAAGGTGGCTGGCTCTGCAGTTAAGAATGCTTGCTGCTCTTCCAGAGGACCTGAGTTCAATTCCTGTCACCTAAATAAAAAAGCTCACAACTGCCTGTTACTTCAGCTCCAGGGGTCCTAACTCCCTCTTCTGGTCTCTTCAGGCACTATACTTACACACACACACACACACACACACACACACACACACACACACACACACACTAAAATAATGAAGTCTGGCTGGAGAGATGGCTCAGCAGTTAAGAGCTCTTGAATGCTCTTCCAGAGGTCCTGAGTTCAATTCCCAGCAACAACATGGTGGTTCACAAACTTCTATAATGGGATCAGATTCCTTCTTCTGTGTACATGAAGATAGTGTACTCATATACATAAAATACAAGAATTAACAAATCTTTAAAAAAGTCTTTCTTTACAAATATAGATATAAGCTGGGTGTAACTCTTGCACTTAGAAGGTTGAGGCTTGAAGATCATATTTTCTGGCCGGCCTGGGGCTATGTAGTGAGACTCTTGAAAACAAAACAAAACAAAACAAAACTAAACTAAAACAAAACTAACCAAAGCAAAGCAAAGCAAAACAAAACAAAACAAAACAAAACAAAACAAAACAAAACAAAACAAGAACAACAACAAAGCAAAACAAGAACAACAACAAAAAACCCACCAAACCCCAAAATTCTAGTTGGGAATGCAGCTCGGTGGTAGAGCACTTGTCTCTGTTCCACCCTGGATCAGTTCCTGGCACTGTGGTGTAGGGAAAGAGAAGGGCCACTTCCTCACCCCACTGTCAGCAGGCAGGGCTCCTAGGCTCCTGACACCCTCGGTACAGAGCCCCCTTTCCGGGAAAGGCCTTTGCAGGGATGGAGGCTGCTGCTTCTAGGCAATAAATAAGGTTCCTGCGGGTCCTTAGCCAGTCCTTCTGCCTCTGTCCTTTAATCGTTTAGTGCCTTTAGGATGAGCACAGAGCAGCAGCCGGTGGCTAACTGTCAAAGGAAGAGGGCAGCGGGCGACATCCTGTGTCTCCACTGAAGCATCTGTTTATCTGTTAACACCCTGCCCATTTCCAGCCCACTCTCTGCAAGTCTGCATGTTGTAAAATCAAACAGCTGTGCTTTCCTTTTCCTTTGAGTCTCCAAGGTTCCAATTGTCCCCTTCATGGTCAGGTGACTGTCATCACTGAGCCAAACAAAAGGGACACAGTTTCTAGATTTGACTTTATGTTGTTATCTCCTATGATGGTTCCCCTAGGGTAATGGGTCTTTTCTCTTCCAGGTGGTCCCTGATGTTGCCTGTGGGAATGCCAGTTCCAACAACTCTGCAGGTGGCCGCCTCGTGTCCTTTGAAGTGCCACAGAACACCTCTGTAAAGTAAGAATTTTCTTGGTTGAAACCTGTTAAAGTCAAAACTGTGCACAGTGTGCTGGGGATGTCTATGATGCATTTGGTGTGTCGATGGCCAATCCTGTGGGAATCCTGATGAATCCCATGTAGGAACCTGGCCGATGCCACTCAGAAAACAAGAGTGAGGAGGATCGTGGTGGGAGGTCTGGTCAGCTGCACAGGTGCAGTGGGAAATAGAATCAGTCAAGTTAGAGCTGACGGAAGAAACCCAGAAGCCTTAGGAAAGATTTGGAGCCTCTCACCTCATCTCCAAGATGGCTTTGCTTCCAAAAGTTTTAATAGATCATTAAATTCAATTGTGTAATTTACTCTAAATTAAAAAAAAAAATCTATGCTTCACAACTTTCTCTTTCAAAGCAAGCAGCATAGGGAAAGCGTTGGGTCCTAAACTTAAGCTGTCCAGTGGCCGACTGCCCATTGTCCCTGGGAGATGGAAGAGAGACAAAGGAAAGCAGCTGTGGCTGAGCAGCATCCTGATGTGTATGGGTGATTTACATAGACGCAGGGAGGCTGGCATCTGCCCAGGGGCACACAGCTGGGAGTCAAAGCCAGCCTGAGTGTTCCAGACACACTGACTGATGAGTCTGTCCTTCTTCGTTGCCATTAATTGTCACCCTTCCTATTCTAGCCACTACCCTCAGTACCCCCTAGGGGACTTTAGAAGACAGGAGACTTGTGGCTTTGTCCAGCTAGTTCTGTGCATCGGCTCTCTCCATTGTGTGCATTGGCTCACTATTCACCTATCCTGTGGATACTGACCAACTTTGCCTGCCTGGTGTTCCCAAGAATGAGCTCCCTGACAGTGTCTACAGAAGGGACTTCTCTAAACTGACCCTGCACATTCCCACCTCCCCCAGGAACCCAAGCAGTGAGGTCACTCTGACAGAGAAGATAGGCACAGAAGGTCTTAGAGGAATGCTCCCATAGACTGTGGTGGAGTATGAGGTCGCTCCCAGCTCTACCAGCAGGGGGAACCCCATGTTAAGTGTTTCAAGTCAGGAGGTTGGGAGCTGGTTTGAGGTGAACACAGTTCATCACAGTTTTACTAAGGAGCTATGTGTCTGCTCTTGCAGTGACATCCTCCAGCTTTCTTGAGTTGGTCATGTTGTCCACCATCATACCCTTTCTCAGTAGTCCTACTCTCATGCTCCTTCTCAACAAATCTGACATTCTCTGGACCTCTCTTGGGTGGCAGGAATGGACAGAAACCACAGTATAACCCAGGCTGAGCAAGACAGGAATGGCATGTGATCTGTGGGCACACCAAATTCATGTGTGGGTGTTACTAGTCCCTCATATAGTATTTTCACTTATTCGTGAATCCAGTCATTTACCAAGATGTTATTGAGCTCTGTGTCACAACTGGGGAGCTTGTGGTGGGGGAGAAGCTATGCGGGGTCTGCTGACTGAGGGAGGTAGGAACTGGGTCCTCCTCTAAAGTACAGGGAGAAAAAGCAACTGCTGGCATGGTATGCTGGCACCATAGGAAGGAGCCTGGGGTCTCATAGCAGGGGTGATGCATATAGGCTGGGGGCATAATTCCCAAGGGGAGAAGGGGCGCATGAAACTTGGTGGCCAGGCAAAAACCCGGGAAGAGATGTGGTTAGATTTTGGTTTTGGAGCACTGGGTGGCAGGGATGCAGATGCTGGAACTGGAGCTGAGAGGGAGCTGACAGGAGTTCACTGGCTTTCGATGATTTACTATTCTCTAAATCTTATACTGCAAACCTTGGGAAGATAGAAAGCCTGACACACTGCTTCTTGTGATAGCGTAGCTCAGAAGGATGGGTTGGATTGCAGTATGCATCTATGATCAATTTAAGCAGGATTCTTTTTACATTGACCTGTACAAGAACTCAATCTGCCTTGTATTATTCATTATCATTAGCAAAAGATAGACTACTGACTAGCCACTTTGTGGTAGACTTTGAACAAGTGTGTGTGTGTGTGTGTGGGGGGGTGGTAGACATTTCCGATAAGTGTGGTTACTTTAGTGTGTACTAGGTGGGCGTTTGCTTATACAACCACTCCTTTGCTCTCCTAACACTTTGTGTGGCTGTATAGGCCATCTGTATTTTCATCTCGGATCTGCTGAATTGGTTCTAAGATGAATTTTAGCAAGAGCGACTTTGCATTGATTCAGTTCTTGTTTTCAGAATTCGGCAGGATGCTACTGCTTCACTGATCTTGTTGTGGAAGGTCACAGCCACAGGCTTTCAACAGTGCTCCCTCATAGATGGACGAAGCGTGACACCCCTCCAGGCTCCAGGGGGGCTTGTCCTGCTCGAGGAGATGCTGGCCTTGGGACCAAATCACTTCATTGGTGAGTTATGGAAACCTTGTCAATCCTGCTCTGACTCAGCCCAAACTAAGTTTGGTGTTTAGAGATGGTGCATAGGAATTTTGTCTAGAGAATATGGTGGGAATTCTAGACAGCTACTGTTATGCTCTCCACTTCAAGAATGATTTGAATTATAACCAGAACATCCTTCTAACACATCATTTCCAGTGTGACTTTATGTGGAAAGAGCACGGGTGCTGGAATTCAGGAACTATGCTCTGGGTACTGACTCAGAAGTAACAGTCTCTTCCTCCCCCATCCATTGCCCTCCCATGCATCACTTTTACTTGGTTGAACCTATCTATCTCTGTAATTTTTACCTTCTCCAAACTACCATATAGCCAGGAAGTTGTCCTCAAATCTCCCTGCCCTGGAGAGCAAATGATCTGGTTCAAAAGAGAAATCATCAGCCTTTCCCAGCCTTTCCCCGGGTCGGTGTTCTGACCATACACTGCCAGTTGGCTCCATCTGTCACTCAGAGTATTCCATCTCTAGAGTTGGAACTTGTGACTCTAGCTTGTTAATGTCATTGACTGAAGACACTGGGGACTTCATAAGAGCTTATTCCATTTTGTAGTTTTAGTGTGGAGACACAAGTTCAAGTCAGAACTCACTCATCAGAGTCCAGTGTACCCAAGCCTCTTGCTCTGGCTGTTAGAACCTTCTTGGGTCCAACAGTCCCGCCCACAAAGATGGGATCAGGCCACAGTTGTCGCAGGAGGGGTTGGAGGGGTGACATAATGTCATGTATATGAAATTGCAACATTACAAATGTTAGGGATTATTCCAGGGTGATTTCTTTACTTTTTCTGAGATATACTATTCTATAAAATGAATGGAAAGTATGTGCTGAGGTTTATTCTCCAAGACGTGAGCTTGAAGCAGGCATTATGATGAAGACCAAAGGCCAAGAGGAAATGCGCAGCTTTATTTAGTGTCTGCTGCAGTTTATTTTTCAGTCACTTTCCTTTCATGAGAACATCCTTTCTCAAGCTTTGGCAATCCAGATATGGAGAGCAGGGCTTTCACAAGGGCCAGAGACACTTTGAGGAATGGAAATGGCTAGAAAAAGAGGAGAGGCATTGAATTTCAGATCAATACTTGACTGTCAAATGTGTTCTAGATAAACAGAGCTTGGGTGTTGAAGTCCTTGTCAAGATGCCAATCTGAATTTTATTCCCCAGGACATTCCAGGAACTGTTAGTTAATTCCATATCTGTTGTAACAATTTATCTAAAAGGAAGTACTTGGTGTTTATGATAAATAATTTTATTTCGTATTTCTAATATTTATTTATGTGTGTGATTGTGTGGGTGTAGACATGTCACATGTGAAGGTTGGAAGACAGGCTGCAGAAGTGGATTCTCTCCTCCCACCCTGTGGGTCCCAGGTTCCAACTCAGGTTGTTAAGACTCTGCAGCAAGTGACTTTTCCCACTGAGCCACCTCACCGACCCTAAATCGCTTTCTTTCATAGTGATGTGAAGTTTTCCCCTGTCATGGATTAATTGCTCTTCTGTGACAGAGAACCATGTAATATTTTAATAAAGCACATGAAGCATCCCCCCACTTTAAAATGTCATTGATATTATTTGACTTGAAATATTAGCTGACATTGCTTGTTACTTTGTAGCATTACTACAGGTGGAGACTGATATTGGACGTGGTGTGGAGTTAGTATGGAAGGACTCACCAGTGTTACTATGGACTTGTTCTTTGGAGATGGGAGAGATTTCATGAACTCATGTACAAGCTGAGCTCATGTTGCCAATGAAAAATTCATAGAAAATATTTCTCATTCAAATGCAAAAGGGATACTTTAAAAATTAACTCCACATGTTAATAACCAAGAGATCCTTCCCTTCAGACTATACTTTATGTCATTGATTCTCAACCTTCCTAATGCTGCAACCCTTTAATACAGTTCCTTAATGTTGTGGTGATCCCTTGACTTTAAGATTGTCGTGTTGCTACTTTATAACTGTAATTTTTCTACTGTTATATATCATAATATAAATACCTGATATGCAGGCTATCTGATATGACCCACATGTTGAGAACCCCGGCTTTAGGTTCTCATTAAGAGATAGTAATTTTGGGTAACATTATTTCCGTACACCATTTTGTCACTTTGGACACATGGGGTCTGATATCTTTTAACCTTGTCAGTGTTTTACTTGGCTGCCCAATAGAGACCACAGTTTTCTAGTATGGGTCTCTTTAGCAACGTTATCTTTTTAAAAGAATAATTTTTAAAAAGTTTATGTGTTTGTGTGTCTATGTGTGTATGTATGCCACATGTGTGTTGGTACCCAAAGAGGCCAGCAGAGGCTTTGGATTCCCTGGAGCTAGAGTTACAGTTGGTTGTGAGCCACCTGCTGTGTCTTGGGTCCTCTGGAAAAGCAGCACATACTCTTAACCACTGAACCAAGAACTCAGCATATCTTTCAGCCTTGTGTTTCTCTCTTTAAAGGTAGCAGGCAGCCCTGTCTCACGCTCTTCCAAGTTAATACATGACCAGCTGCCCATCTGGAGTACCAGCGTTCTGTGTGTACACTGCCAACCTCTTCACACAGTCTTTTATCTTAAAGAAACAAGGCAAATCTTTGGTCAACATTGCAGAAGCTTCATGCTTATTACATGGACATGCATTTAATTCTTTTCGTTTTGTTAAGTTGCTTATTAAAAACTTACTTTCATAGTCTGGGGAGATGGCTCATTTGGTAAAGTGCTTGCCATGTAAACATGTGGAACTAAGTTTGATGTCCAATAACCACATAAAAGGCTGGGTGTGTCTATGCATGTGGGTGGTCCCAGCACTATGGAGGTGGAGACCTAAAGATCTCTAAAGCTTGGTGACCCACAAGTGTAGCTGAATTGGCACACTCCAAGTTCAGAGAAAGACTGTCTCAAAAAATAAGGTGGAAGGTGACTGAGTAAGACACTCAGTGTTTACCACTGGCTTCCACACAAGTACACACACACACACACACACACACACACACACACACACACACACACACACTACTTGCCCATGCACCAAGGCGTGCACATGGAGGCCAGAGGACAACCTTGTCTAGTTAGTTTTCTCCTCCTGTCTTTTCTGTTTATTTATTTTATTGAAACAGAATCTCATTAGGTAGCCCTGGCTGGCCTGGAGTTTGATATGTAGACCAGGCTGGCCTTGAACTCACACAGATCTGCCCTCCACTGCCTCCTGAGTGCTGGGATTAAAGGGTTAGACCACCACACCTGGCCTCCTTCCATCTTTTCACATGGGTTTTGAGGTGCAACTCAGGTCATCAGGCTTACATGGCAAGTGCTTTTACCCATGGAGCCCTCTCACCACCCCTTACAGTATTTTTCCATGTGGTATTTCCACACGTGAATACGTTGTACGGTGTCTAAACCAGGCTGACTGTCTCTGTCTCATCAAGCACCTATTTTGACTATCAATAGTCACAAGCCTCCCTTCTGCTCTTCTATTGAGTTTCTTATCATAAGCCTGATATTTGACTACAGAGGATGGTACATGATGTATGCTCTTTGGACCTGTTTCATGATTCTCATGTTTAATATTTTTTTTACAGTTTTCCTTCATTACTATTGCCTTATTAATATTTATACTGTATCATGGGAAGAAGGAAAGAGATGATGTGGATGTCTATTAAATATATACGCCTCCTGCTGTGCCTCTTCCATCAACCTCTTCCCTGAGTTGCCATCAAATTCTGATGCCTCTGCTCTCTGCTTAATTATCCCTTCTGTTTTCCCCAAACATGCCTTTTTCAAATATGTAATTGGCTTTATGCAATGTTTGGGGGGTAAATAACTCAGCAACCTTTGCTTGACGCTGTCTGCTCTGCAGGGGGTGCCAACAGTGCTCATTAGCTCTCTGTGATCCACTGGCCCTGTGGTTTGTACTTCCACAGTCAAGTCCATAGATCCAGTCCTAGTTCCGTGCAACAGTGGCTTGCTGGTCTTGAATACGGTGTTTATGTTTAATTTGAAGTTGCTTGGTGATTTGGGAGTGATGGATGATCTAGGGGTAAGAACCAAACTAGCTTTCTAGTGGTGTGGCCTCTGTTAGGATGTGGAAGGAATGGATTCAGGCCTCTCTTAGGGTGAAACCACACAGGATCCCTTCCTCAGGCTTTCTCCTCTCTTGCCTCCTTCTTTCAGGTAGCGTTCTCCTTTTGTATGGCAACACTTGGCTGTGCTCAATCACTGCCCAACTCAGCCCCACCTGGATAACCATCCTCCAGCTGCTTTCTACCTTAGATGCCAAAGCCATCTTCTGGACCCCATTTACATTTCCTCTCACAATACAACACCAAAACAATAAATTGTCCTCTTTGGAGTCTTTCATAAGGAAAATGACTAGCCAAAGATTTTTCTCTTTGTGGGTCCTCAAAAAATCTCCATGCATTCTCAAAAAAAAGAAAAAAGAAAAAAAAAAAAAGAAAAAAAAAGCTCCCTTAACTCTTCTATTATCATTATTATGTTTATTTGTGTGTGTTTATGTGTATATGTGTGTGCAAGTTTGTGTGTCTATGTGTGTGTGTCTATGTGTCTACGCATATGTATATGTGGAGGCAGAGGTCAACTTTAGATTTTGTTACTCATGCACTATCCACTTTGTGTTTTGAGACAGTTTTAGGCTCCAAGTTTTTAGGCTAGGATGATTGGCCAGCTTTGGGAAGTAAGGATGACCATACCCAGGATGACCTTGAACTCCTGATCCTCCAGTCTCCATCTCTTATGTCCTGAGATTACAGGCACTTTTGTCCATCACCACACTTAGTTCATGTAATGGTGGAGATGGAGCCAAAGTCCTCACATAGGCTGGGTGGTGGTGGTGGCGGCGGCGGCGGCGGCGGCGCACGCCTTTAATCCCAGCACTCGGGAGGCAGAGCCAGGTGGATCTCTGTGAGTTCGAGGCCAGCCTGGTCTACAGAGTGAGTTCCAGGAAAGGCACAAAGC